TGGCCGGCGTACGAGCCGAGGCAGTGCTAGGGGGGAGGGGGGAGGCAGACAGTCGGCCAGCCCCATCGAAGGGTTGTAAACAACGAGAGACAAGATCAAAGACCATTTGTTCAAGCCCTTGGTTGTTTGGTCTTTGATCTTGCTTCTCGGTGCTTACAGCCCTTCGAGGGGGCTGGCCGACTGTCTGCCCCCTCCTCCCCCTAGCACTGCCTCGGTTCGCCGGTTCGCCGGCCCGCCGGCCGGCCGGCAAACTATGAAAGCAGACAATGTGGCGTTGATTTGCGATGACCGGTCTATGTCCGAGTCAGCACTTTAATCCTCTCATATGATTCTGCTCCAATCACCCGACCCAGGAGTAAGGGAAGGCTTGGATTCCCTAGACACGTGTTCGCCCTATTCTATTCCTTGACCATTCCTGTGCTTTTGTTACTAATATACACCTCCACAAGTAAAGTAAGACAGAGAGTAAAGTAAGAGTAAGAGTTGGACAATATAAGTCAAGATGAAGAGATTTGTTGTTCTCAACATCAATTTGAACCTCATTATACGACGCGGCAAGTGTATGGTCACAATCTGCTCGTCATTTCACCTTTCGTTGACGTTTATGGTTTAGAGGAAGAGCAGTGTCGTCTTTGATCCTAACAAGATATTTTTGGATGCTTTTTGTTTTCGCTAACCCAATTGATCGCCTTTTGTTAGCGACTGAAAACATCAACATCAAGGATGAGCTAGAAAAAATCAAAGCAGGGACGCTAAAAGTAGAACGTGTGGGGTAATAGCTGAACTAATCAAGTTGAAAGAAGACAGCTTTAGTACCGTCTAGAAAAGAGAGGATTAGAATGAAAAAATTCATGCATCATAAAGCGACTTTCAAGATCATAAGATATAAACAGATAAACAAAGATATATTAGTTGTGTATCAATTTGCCGACGACTGGTGTACTCCCTAGTTTGGTGTCTGTGAATTTGTACAACCTCACTCCGAGATCTTTTGGAGTATTGTGGACTTGTAGAATCTCGCTACATCCCTGCAGTAACATAAGTAAAGTAAGTATATTTACGACGATAAGGAAGATCGTAAATGAAAGGGGTAAGGCCTTCGAGGTTTACCATTCCTGTGTGAGACTTGCGGTGGCCAGACAACGTACAAGTCAGTGCTTTTATTTTCCTAGAGGAGTATTGTACTAGTGAACCGATCCCTAGGGTTGGAAGGCTTGGCTACTTTGGGCTCACAAACCAGCCAAGCCTTCCAATCTCAGGAATCGGTTCGCTAGTACCATACCAATCCTCCCTCAGCTTTGCACCGTAGTGTAGTTCCAAGTGGCGCACTTCAGACACGCATGGTCACGGGTTCGAATCGCGAATCGATATACGCCTAGGCCAACCATGCCTTCCATCCCTCCGTGGTGTGTTGATGGGTACCAGACTCGTCTGTGAGGATATATACTAATTTGTTCATCGGCTGGACACCGCAAGTCATTGTATAGGCCACATACGCATTCAATGCGCGACTATAATTCCGAATGGAAGTCGAATGTGTGGGCAAACTCATCAGATGGGAGTGATTTTCGCCCCAAGGCTTTCCCAAGACTCTAGACTTCAACACTGCACAACAAAACCTCCCTTCTATTGAATGGCAGCAGTAGGATCAGGCAACCGTAGTTTCGTAAAATATCAAAATCGCAAATGATGTATGGATAATGGTTCAACCTGTATACTCCGCTTGGTCGGCGTTTATTCCTCAACTGGTAGCTACCCAATGGTTGCAGTCAATTTCATCAATCCATGATTTTCACTTCTTTGAAAAAGGAAGAAGGATGCAGAAACGAATTTTCGGTGTCGATTGGTAAGTCCCAGGTCCCCGTCCCGTTTGGGTGCCCTCCTAAGTCAAAGAGCTCTGATAACCATGTAACCGTGGTATCATCCCCTAGCCCTCACGTAATTATGTCATTTGGCATTGTTCTCCCAAGCTTCAGCGGGACACAGGCTTTTTTGAAGCTCGATTTGTTGGTATATTGACATTTGGAATACCTGTACCAGCCTAGATCAGCAAGGCCTCCTCCTGGAAAAACAGAAACATAGAGTTCTACACACACTGGCCTTCCCAAGAAGTTTGTAAGCCAGATACTTATCCGAGGGGTCTCTATTTCCAAATAGCAGTGGGATGTGTAGGGGTATGCCAAAACGGGATTGACCTGATCTATGGAACAACCTTTTTCCGTGAAGGGCAGTAGAGAATATGTTTTACCTGGAATGATCAGTTTCGATGTCTTCCACAGCCCTATGTGGCTATCGGACGACTAGCCACTGGTAGCTACTGGTAGTATACGGTAGCGCTTCCTCAGCAATTTCCCAATTTCCCTCAGAACCACTTTACAATATACGATTGCAATTTCTGAAAAATTCGAGTTTAATACAGCTACGTTGGAACACCGCGAATGAACAGATTATGATCACATTCCAGAATAATTAGGTTCCAAGTCGGACTTGCTGAGCTGAAGATTACTGCGCGATTAGGTTTACATTGGAAGAAAACTGCAGCAGCTGTGAAAAAAGCTCCAACTCGAGGAGAGATCGCATGAATGGAGACTGGGCTTGTCTTGAGGTTATCCTTTTCCGAGTGTTGATAGCACTCTTATAAAGCCCTTTCGCCTATTAATGGCTCTGGCATGTCCCGCACAACCAGCTAGCAATTTATCAGAGAGGGTATCGGGCACGGTACAGGAATACTTCACAAGAAAATGTGGAGTTCTCGATAGTAGGCGTTGGTCTACGAATCCCGAACAGACAACCTAAAAGAGCCCAAAGGAGAATGGAAAATGTGAAGGAAGCGAGAAAATTCGCAGATTTCAAGGAAAATAAGGTTTTGGAAAGCAGTGAGAATAGAGGTTGTCCGAGATTTATCTATTTATTTGTTTATTTATTTATTTATTTATTGGGCTATTGTCGAAGTGACATACAACGGTATGGCTCGGACTAGCGTCAGAGTTACAAGAGAATAGAATAATGTATCATATCCTATTAACATGGAATAGAAAGGAAAACGGAAAAACGGAAAAAAAGGAACAGGGGTAGGGGTTGGAAGGGGAGAGGAGCAGGTGGGCCGCGGGAGACGGGCGTTAGGAACGATTTTGGGTAACCGATTCGCCGCATTATTACAGCTCTAGCGTTCTTCATGCAGCTCAATCGATATGCGATTATTATTTTATGCATAATTCTATTATTAGTATTTTTGTTCTTGTATTTCTTACCTACTGCTGCATCCTGCTACATTCCTTCGCGCGCGACGTCCCTCTTACCGCGACGCGACCATTTCGTTCCTAACGCACCACACCTGTGGGCCGCCAGTAAGGGGAAGGGCAGTGGCCGGCCAACACTGCAAGCCGCATGGAGGGGTTTCGGCCCCGGATACCAGCTTAGTAGGTCCGCCAACCTCTTGGGGTGTCCAGATAATACAGGCAGCTGCGGGTAATGGGCTGGTTAGGGGGAAAATTTACAATAGCAATAATAAAAAATGAGTACAAGAGAGAAATAGGCGAATCAGATACATTAAATAGAATTGTACAGCGCATAGAGTACAAACTACAAGAAAAAAAAAACGCAAGAAATAAAGGAAGAAAAGTATGAAAAGTAGGAAAACCATCGTAAAGAGAGGGAAGTGTTGCAGGAACGGCGGAAGTATGCAGGAGAAAGAGGTCGAGTCATAAAGGTTACAAAGTCGCAAAGTCAAAAAGGGCAAAAAGTCAAAAATGTTGCGAAGATCCATAAAATGCTGTAGGAACTGATTGAGGACGTAGAAGAATCTAATGCTGGCATAAGCTCTGCAACTATGGTATACTGCATTCTGAGTGCGTGCGTAGATGACATCAACTTCCCTGTCCTGCTTCCATGGTTAAAGTTATTGCCTTTTCTGTCAGCAGGCGCTTTGAACAACCTTCCAATTTCGCAATTTCAATTTCCATGGCAATCGCCCATGCTGCGCCAAAAAAAACACCGAATACCTGATATATCCTGAATCACTCTGATTGCTTGAGAAGCTAAGGGAGATGAATTTGAAACAGGAATGACTTACTCTATCTGAAATAATCTGTTCCTAGCTTGTTCCAGAGTTGTGCTACCCTAACAGGGAAAGCACTATACTATAGATTATAGATTACCATGACGGAAATGACATGAAAGGGGTANCTTAGAGAGATGAATCTGAAACAGGGATGACTTTCTCCCTGACAGGAAGCTAGGAACAGATGATGAAATAATCTGTTCCTAGCTTGTCCCAGAGTTGTGCTACCCTAACAGGGAAAGCACTATACTATAGATTATAGATTACCATGACGGAAATGACATGAAAGGGGTATTTGGACTGGATTTCAGTTTGTGTAATTGCGTAGAGAGCTGACTACAGCAAGCCACAACTGTCCAAAATTGCCTTTCACTGTTGCTATGGGTCATGACAAGTGATTGAATCTCCTACATGGGTTCCCTTGTGAATGGAGCAGCGTCTACATTGCCGCTGAAACTCGTCCACGCATACACACGAGACAATCTTTGAGCCATTATGACACCTTAATTAGGCCGTTTTCCGACATGATAGCGCCAGCTATGGTATACGAGGGGGCTCGGATTCATCCTTTGGGGGAATCTCAGGAACCTTTTCTATCGTAAAATGTGCCTTTAAAAAGAAAGGAATGTGAAGAACAGCACCGCCGAACATAGCCACCGCGGACGAACTGCGCAGTAGACGGTATGTGCGCTATATTCGCTTGCATTCTGTTATTAGGTCCTGTGACGCGTATTATCCGACCCTGATTGCTCACGCTAGTATACTTACGTAAGCGTCTATTTATGGCCACTCGCTTCTATTTTCTTCTCAATCCTCACGCGGCATGCGTCAGTTCTGATCGCATTAGTGGGAAAATAATTTATAGTACATTCTACATCATCAGGAATTATCGTCTTCAGCCAATATTATAAACCCTTAAAAACCAGTAAGTACAACGAGTCCGGCTTTCAGTTCGGTTAGTTTGACGGGTTCAGCTTTCAATTTGAAATTAAATGATGGCTTTTCAACTGGGACGGAATGAATGTTCGCGGGCTTGAATTGCTGAAGGTGATTCCGAGCTGAATCGAGTAATGATGAGGAACTGGGATTTGGACCGGGGAGTTCTCGACGAAATTATGGTGTCATAAAGTCAGAAAGAATCCAAAATCGCTAGTTCGCGTCATTCTGATAGAGATTAAGCCGAGAGAACAAGATATCCGAGACCCTTACCTCTCGTTGCATGTGCTCAGACCTCAAGATGTTCTGGAACAAGCCGTCAAGCATGCTCTAGTGGTGAGAGACTCTGAGAAAGCGCGTAGATGGCGGCCAGTTTCTAGAAGCTCCGAGCGGAGGATTAGCTATAATAAGGTAACTGCACCATCGACGTAATCACCGTAACTGCACCATCGACGTAATCACCATCTATATATACGGATAGCCCCCAGGAGGACCTCGCTTTCATTTGCTGCGACTCATTTTGAGCCTCGGTTCGGAACTTCGATTTTTCAATACTCCGATCTGTCTGGAACCATGGTATTCATTCCAGTTCGTGGTCGTGGTCGCCCAATGCAAGGTCGTTCATCTCCTCGGTCGCCTACAAGCCCTCAGCAGACGGCGGCTCGGAGAAACAGTCAGCAGGTTGGTCTTTTTGAGGGTTAAAATTTGTCTAAAAGGCTGAGTCGGCACTGACGAAGCTGGCCTGGTTCCGTAGCTTTCAAAGGAGTAGTACGTGGGACTCAGTAGACATCTATTGACATCAAAACGTGACTGTTACTAGCTCTATCATCTCAGTATACTGAGGACCCTCACGAGAATGAAACGGCTTTTTAACATTTTATAGACCTTGTGAACTCCACATGGAGTCAGCGGCCAAAATCGCCTACTCAAATGGGTCTGGCTTTTTTTACAGGTTCACAAGTTAAAGAGACTTCCTTCGATACTGAAGCAAAGTCTAATTGTGACCTAGGCAGCTTTCCAGCTTAGGCGAGATAAGGCGGCTTCTCAGGCTAAGATGTGAGACAGGATTATAGCATCATTACGCACAAGCTGGAGCTTAAGCCATAAGCCGTACAGACAGTTTCAGGAACTCCAGAGATCACTCTTCAAGGCTTCATACTCCTTAATATTTGCATTTCAATTTAAACCCGACCCCGTCCATCACTAGCTGCTGCAATTCCTTTGCAGTGAGGTAGGGTAAAGGTTACTTGACTGCCTGACTTCCCCTAAACTTCCGCCACCACCTGCTTCTTGTGGGGACCGTTTAACGGACTCGGCCCGTTATAAGTGATAGCGCGCACTCCAATTACTTGATCAGTAGAACCGAGAATTTGGCTTTGCTCCTCAACTCCATTGCTTTCCAGAGTTCCGCACTTCGACGACCGTCTATGGTTCATCCTCAACACGAGATGCTCGCCCTACAACAACAGCAAGCGCTTCTCGCTGCTGCTCAAGGGTTAGCCTCGTTCTCATTCACTAACCATATGAGGTAAACAGACGCATCGTCTCATATTCTTTTCTTGTAATAAGTGATAAACACTTATACCGGAAAGAAACTAACAGAAGTAGTCTACATAGAGCATTCATCTCGACTCAGCCTCGCGTACTTCCACTGAGCTTCATTTCAGTATGAATCCGCTTGCTATTTTTCCTCAAATGGTCAACAACAACAATAAACTTGCCGCCAGTGTTCTGGATGGAAAGCTCGGGCAATCAGAATGCAAGGTATGACTGTTTTAGCGTTTCGATAGCCCATCCGTTAGTTTTGGGGAATCGGGCAGAACAGAGCACATGGAAGGGCCCACCGAGGGAGGCACTGCTATGAAATCAGCGGAGGTCACCTCAATGTCTGATTCCACGGCCCTACTATCCGCATCGGTCCCCTCCAAACACTTTAGGCTCATTTATTTACTTTCTTCTATTACTGTTACTCAGAGTGACCCCCGTACCGCGTTAAAAAAGAAACTTACTGACCCAGCAGGACTTTTAATTTTTCCCCTACCTTCAATTAAGTATATAAACCAACCCAACCCATCAAAGGCTGTGTTTATGGAACGTTCTGCGGTTTGAACAGTATCTGTTCTCTGAAAACCGATGTCTAGTAGTCCCCGTCTAGAAGTACAAATGTTTAGGCGCAAAAGTTGGAGTCTGCTGATTCTCTTGACAATGGTGTCTCCTCTTCTGGATCTGCCGAAGATATTCGAAATAAATGTAAGCCTATTCAAAACATACCTCCTATCCGTCTATGACTTTGACGTATTCAATCCGTGTTGCAGTTATGGGTAGCCGAACGTTATCGAATTTAACGTTGTCCATGCGACCACAAACCTCCCGTCCTGGCGAATCGCTTCAACCCAGGTAAGCCGGGGCTAGTCGAATTTGGCAATATTTCGAGTTGTTCAAATCTATGCCTCTACAGGTACCTCAGATCAATTCCATCGGGAACTATACTCGATAAGGAACAGGTCAAAGATACGGTATTCGAGGCTGCACCGACTGCATTGACAGCGGAAGTTGTCGAGGTAGGACTGAAGGGACGGTCCGAGTTTTTAATACTTATGGTTTGTACTTTTACAAAATCAGTTGTTTCGGTTAAAATTGATGGGGCACGGCTTTTGGGGCATTCAAAGAACATGTAATTTTGAGCGGTGCTTGTTGTTATAGGGGACAGTATGGAAAATATTGGTTTCGTGCTCCAAAAGCTTTCTATTCCGTAATAACCCTGTAAAACAGCTTCTGTGACAGATCTGACCCTTCAATGGATGGTCTGTAGAGTACCTGCTGACTAGAGTTCTTGAAAATACAACTCAAAGCAGAAAAGTTTTCAGTACGTTCGTGATCGAATCGATGACGACTCGTCCCTGCTCACAGAAGAGCAACAGCAGCGAGTTGCCGAAATCCTCCGGAAGGTGAACCTGAAAAAATTCGAAATCGAGTTCTCCATACACAGGTAGGGAAACACCACCACAACTTTTCTTTTCAGAAAATTATCATTAGTGTAAGACTGAAGGCCTGAGATCAAAAAAGGCCTCCTCTTCTAAACTGTTCTTATCTCTGATAAACTTAGCAGTCGGTGGGTCCTATTCAACTATACGGTAAGTGTAAGCCATGGTGGCAATCCCACTTTTCGGAGCCTTCTTTTGGCCGAAACACTCTTGCTTAATACGAAAAATCCGAGTGTTCGATAGAATTACAGCAGAAGAAACAAAAATGAAAAGGAATTCGATGTCCCTGTTATCCAACATTCATAGATTTACAAGTAATCATTACTTCCTGGCATTAATCCCTAGGTCTCAGTAGCAATTTCGCTGAGCTCAGTCGGACATGACGAACTTCCCAAATAGCAAGACATCATGTGAGGAATTTTCCACAAAATCATTCACGAAATCACTACAACTTCATGATATATGGTCCCGACAAGTTTTGCCGGCAGTAAAGCATGGTACAGTATTGACAGGCTGGACATGACGGTACTACCACTGGAAAGGGCCTCGTTGGTGCTTGAAGCAGTGCCGTCAGCAGCAGATGTAGAACGAATTCGACGATTCACTGCAGCGCATCCAAATTCGCAATGGACCGAAGCGGAGCAGTTCGTCATTGATGTGAGTTTTATTTTCCAAAAATATCAGTGAAGCAAATACCAAGTAGTTATTAGGTCGTAACTTAGTTTCATGTAAGAGAATGATAAAAATAAAGAACGATAAGCTATTGGAATCTCTGCCTATAACGGGATGCGCCCCTGCGCCCGACGTTAATTCAACTTGTAATCCAGCAGAAGCCCTTCTCCAAAAAAAATCCCAAATTGCGGCTAATGTGGCGCTGATTTTTTCTTATATTCTGGGCAGATTTGGTACCGATTGAGGTCTTAAAGGCAGGGATGAACCACTGCGACTCCAGTCATAACCTTGCTTTTCCAATCGTACATATAGTAGCCTCTTCACTTGGCTCAATCCCTAGTGTCCAAACAGAAAGGTACTCTAAATGATCTCCAGCAGAATCCACTCCTTTTTGCGATATGTTCCGCAGTAGCGTGCAGTCACGGAGGCCGAACTAACTTTCCGACCTATTGGTAAGGGAGGGAGATCTGCGTGTCCGTCGAAGCTACGTCACCCGTCCACTTCGCGCGCAGCGCACTGCAACCTCGACGTTACAATACCACCATGTATCAGTGGAGCGGGTGGTTACCCTGGTCCATGTTACAGCTTTAAGCTGACAATGAGCTCATCGAGGTGACTTAAGCAGTGGGCGTCTGGCACCATCTTGCGTACACCGAATTCGTCTGCCAGTGGCCACCAACTGTTGTACAAGTTCCAGCACCGTACCGCGCTGCTCGTGTACCCCGTGAAAATCATTGACAGATAGATCAGGAGAACTGGCCCATAGAGACACCCGCCGCTCTTCTGATTTCCCTGAGACAATCTCGTCCTTTACTGAACATCAGGAGTAGGCGTAGGCAGGGTGTGGAAGTTGGTTCTCTGCCATTATCTTCGCAGATTTCCCCCAATTGCGCAGCAGGGAATAGGGCATATGGAACTAGAGCTCGCTAGCCGAGACGCATGACCCTAGCGCCGTCAGAGGGCTAAGAGAATACGAAAAATGTGCAAGTGAACTTAGTTGAACCAGAACCTTTCCCAACTTCTCATTAATCTCATTGCCTTTTAGTTGGCTGGTATCGAACGAGCTGAAGAGAAATTGGCCGTCATGGTTCATACCGCTATGTTCGACGAGACCACCAACACCATTAGCGAGGTAAGTTTGAACAATTGGAGCTTCTTCAAGACCAACCATGAAGTAGCATCTACACGACATCATACCTAACTTAACTGATTCTCTCCAGCAATTGGACTCATATGCAACGTCGGCTAAACTTGTCCAGGAATCCGAGCAGTTGCGAATGATTCTTCAAGCCATCCTGGCACTCCTGAATCACTTGAACGGCAGTTCTCTTGAGGAAAAGGTCGTCGGCGGTTTCTGTACTAGTCAACTAGCAGAGGTTAGCAGCTTTATCTGTCTCACCACAAGGAATCCGTCGCATAATCGGTGTTCCAGGTGTGCTCTGCCCAGCTCCCCGATGGTTCATCTGTCCTTCAGACGCTGATGACTTTCATCCGTGATCGAGCGCCGTACGCTTCTGATGCTGCCGACCTCGTTGAACCGCTTAGTACGACAGCCAAAGGTACGGATCTCACCAGCTTTCTGATCCTTTGGTATCTGACGGGGTTCTCTAGCATTAGCTACTGTGCTCTTATCCAGTAGCCCCCCGCCTTCACCATTGCTTGTGCTGCTTCTAAGTATTTTAAACAGTTTTATCTGGTCTCAAAAATTTGGCCCAAGGGAAANAAATATTGGTGGACCACCTACGTGGTGGTCCTCAGTGTGGGCAGCGTCTCTTCGTCCCTATTCACTCTACTCTTCGAATATGTGTCCTACTTATAAGGAATAACTGTTTCAGTACCGTTCCTGTCCATATACGAAGCACTACTGCGTTTGGATGAAGGCAACCAGCGAGTGCAAGCAGAGCTGGAACTGCTTGACTTCGAACATCCGGTGCTGGCCGTTCGTCTCAGTGAGATGCGCCGCCGGTTGGATGAAGTGGCAGAAAAGCTTGTTCGTGTTAAGGTGAGCTGCTGGTAGGTAGTTGAGTTCTGCAACTACCGTATCCCACTCGTTTCAGGACCAAGTGCTGGTGATGTTGTCATATATGGGTGAGGCACTCCCACGCACCGAATCCGAATTCCATCCTGAACTTTATTTGTCAAAGTTATGTGATTTCCTTATCTCGTTACGTCTACAGAATGATTTGGACGTCGAGGTGGAGAACTGAGCGTTGCTGCTGCATGGCTGAATCAGCCATTTGTCATGATCCTCGTTGGTCTCGACTTACTCCCCATACCTCCTCTCCTCCCTTTTTTCGTTGACATTTGTCCTTGTTCCATGTCTCTTTCCGAACAGTTTAGCCGCCTTCTCGTGCCAGCACTTCATTTACTCTTTCCGTTAACTTGAATGCCTCAGAGAACTGCTTCTCACTCTATACGCTATGCGATATAATAATTCCATGCTAGTTGTCTTCCGTTACCTTCCAGAGACGTATTTTCGCCATCAGGTGAAGCCTTATCCGCGGTAGAGTTTAACCTGTATTATTTGACAGATCACCTCAACCACCAATATTGCTCGGCTTCTAGCTCCATGTACGTAGTAGGTGGTGTCATAATCTGAGATTACTTCTCTTTCGTCCCACGTTTCCAGAAATTCCCCCCACGCTAGCCTCGTCTAGCCCATGTCTAAAGTGAGTTGCTTATTTTTTATAATACATTGCTGGTCATATAGTGTACAATCAACACCTCAATTCGAACCCTGCTCCCACTTGTCACATACGTCCCATTCAACCTGGTGGTAAGATTTTCTGAATTGAGGAGTGAATTGGGTAGAGTTACAGGCTTAGTGTATCTTTCTTCCGGTTAATGTCTTCGATGTATTTTACATGATTTTTTTCCAATACTATTTTTGAACATATCTTTCCATATTGGAGATTTTAGTTTCTAGATTGATTATGCGCATTTCTTGAAGTGAGGATTAATAAATGTTTTCTAAAGCTGTTTACTTTCAATTTTGATGTTAAATGTGCCGGCTCCTCTTGGCCGCTTGCAAGAAACAGATCCTCCTGGACGGGTATAAGATCGTTCCTCTTAGGGATGTGCCCCGTATTCGGCTTCCATTCAGAGTCGCAGTGGCTTATTGAATGCGTATGCGGCCTATACAACTTGTTGCGGTGAGCAGTCGATGTACGAATCAGTGCTTTTATCCGACCAGACGAGTTTGTTGCCAATTAGCCGACCCCGGAGGAACGGGAAGTTTGGTTGGTTTACTCGGATATAGATCCGAGATTCGACCTCGGGACCATGCGTGTACCATAGCCCGCTACTCGCCACTACACCACCTCCACTCTCCAAGAAAAACGTTATCGCTGAAAACCAGAAGCATTGACAGTGAAAGACATTTTCACAGATGAAGGTGTTGGTAGGCACTGCGAGCATAAGCTTCCTTCTAGAGCGTAAACATGCCACAAACACGCTAAAGTCAGGTCATAGAAGTTGCTCAACAAGGTGTTAAGTTTGCCAAAATGTGGAGTCCTTGCTGACGGCAGCGCATCTCCTTAGGCATCGATTTTTAGGGTTTTGAATATTTTAAATGTGAAACTCCTCATCGCTGCGCTGCGTGGGGGAATCGAATGCTTAGAACAAAGACCACACAGATCCGCGAATGTCGTGAGTTCCTTTGTAATTGTCGCGCAACCATCTTTTCAGTTACTTCTGGGGATCTTTACCGTAATCCACAGCTTCTTAAGAGTTTTATATTCTAAGATATTTGCTTTACTTGATAGTATCGTGCCGCTGACTACCACCTCCGCATTTTCGTAGGCCCCCAGAGGACTTGGTAATCATAATTTTTGGATTGTTTACGCTCATTTCTTGTTCAAATAACCTCTCAGCTCATGCAAAGAGGCCCGTACTGGTCTGGCTAGTGAGCTAGCCATATAACCTCTAGTAAAAATGTAAATCGGTCGTAGCACTGATGCTTCGATCAGTGGGTAAATGACTGGACATCTTGTGTGAAGGGTGGATTTGTGAGCGATTTGCGATGTTATCCCTTTTACGGGATCTTGCTGATTTTGATCTTCATGTTGGTTCTTGCCGAATTTTGTTTTTTGTTTTCTTGTTTATTTGTTTTTATCGAAAGTTTTTTTCGCATTTATTGCCTTTGCCAGGCTCAAAATTACAGTCACTATAGTTGCATATATGTACCTACAATTACTCAATTATCATTCACAGCTGGACAAATAGAAATCCATCAAAAGTATTCAAAAATATATAACAATTAGAAAGGGAAAAATACAAGCTAACACACAAAAACTATAGGCGGTGGACTTGTCAGCAGGAATTTTAAAGAAGAGTCGGTTTTTGCTCTTATCCTTAGATGACAGGGATGATAATTGATGACACACCTTCTCTGTCACGTTGATTTCTGCCTTTATAATAAATTTCTCGTGCTTTCTGTGATTTTTCTTCCCAGCAGCAGTGAAAAATGGGATGACCTTCCTTCCGAGCCTACGAAATATCATCACTTGAAAGGATGAGGCCCTTTCTTTTCATCCACAATAGCTCACCTCACGGCATAAATGGTTTCATTTTCCTTCAAGATGGACCCGTGTCCTTGAAGAGTAGCACGTGGGACATTGTCTGGATCTCGGACAAAAACGACCTTGAAAGGCGCTAATCGGCTTCGCCGACGTACACACCCATAAGTGATGGCTTTATTGAGGCTGCAAGATTCATAATGACTCCACACCCTCCGGCTTCATTTATATCATTATGCCTTGAAGTTCGTAGATCTTTTCAGACGTAATCCTTGAACATCTAAATTTTACTAGTTTCCCTGACAAATTTCCTCGTACGAAGCCTGTTGCTAGGCTCAATTCTGTTTGCCCCGCCCTAAGCCTGACCTGGCGTATTTGAAGATAGTTCTCACCTAGTTGAAGTTAAAGGCGCAGTTTACGATAAAAATGGTCACAGAGGCTCAGAGATTGGCTCGTGTGTACGCTCGGACGAGCTCCGCCGGCATTGTAGAGGCTGCACAGATCACAAAGGAACCCGTGTAGGAATTTCAAACAGCTTGTCATGACCCATAACGGCAGTGAGAGGCAGTTCTGTACAATTCTGTCTTGATGTAGTCGGCTCTTGGCGCAATTACAACAATCGAAATCTCGTCCGAATACCTCTTCCACGTCATTTCCGTCATGGTAATCTCGTCCAACCTCTGTTTTCAATACTTATGAGGAGCCTTATTTTTCTCAAAATCGGCGAATTTTTTCGCTTTCTTCTTTACAATGGTCTATTCTCAATCTATACGTCCGCTTTTTGACAAAAAAGGGTTACTTCAAAATTATCGTGAACTGTGTCTTTAATCTTGAGATATTCGAGCCTATTCGCTGCATTGCCACAAGGCGTGTCCTATTTACCACCTTCACGATGAACTTTCTCACACGCTGTTGCTGGATGATTCGAGTGCCTCGCTTTGTGAAAGATTCGGAATAAACCTTTCTTGAGGGCTCGATATGAGTAGTTGCGAGTAAGAGTTGCGTGCCACAATGACCAAAGACTCAACACCGTTTATTTCCAGCGAGGACCTTCCTCTGAATTCTTCTATTCTTTTTCAACGACGATCTCTTTCTCTAGATCAGATCTAATTCCTGTCTAATTATAAGTAAGCCTCTCACTAGCTATTGCCAACATCCTTCGAAAAAATACGCCTTTGCACTCAGATTAAGCCCCGCTACTGTTATTGATACTCTACCTCAGGTTGCGATGACTCAGAGACCTGAGCTTCCTCCCTGAAGCAATTCCGTTTGCAGGGTGAGTCCTTGCACTGTCTTGCATTCGGATTTGTAGTGGCATCCAGTAAAAATGAGCGGCTTAGTTCACCGGATGCGAGTCGATCAGGGATTCTATCCTTGGCCTTATGCCTCCCGCGAGCCCGTAAGAGGAATGCCATAATATCAATCAGTGTTCCAAGTTGTGTTTTGTTAAGATAGGAGAGGTAGAAGTTAAGAGAATGATGCTTCTATGAACTGGGCTTCCAGGGAGTTTCAGAAAACAAAAATTTCGCGTTGTGCCCTTCTGATCCACACAAAAGGAAGTTTTCAAAGTGTTAAGAAGAAAACAAAAAAGTCATGAGAAAACTTTATAAAAAGCATCAGCACCACGTACCAACAGTTGGAAGTAATTCCTCATCATTTCCAAAAATTTTCGACACGTTGCTCATGGATTTTAACACTCTTCGGGACACTCTTATTCATGCTTTGTTTCAATAGGATATCCTTATTAGATGTTTAGTGATTCGTTATCTGCAGGGTATGTGAAGTCGAAAGAGTAGTTGTAGTTGTTCAATGGCTACCTTTTCAAATTACAAAAAGAGATTTGAGAGTGTAAATATCTGAGCTCGATAAGGCCGATCTCCACTGTGCACTGGAGAAAAAAATTAATGAATCTGCCCTTTTTTTGATTGGAGAATACGAGGCAAATCACTAAGTCACAGAGCCCAAAAGTCTCTTTGATGCGTAGACATTTGAGTGAAATTGAGAAAGCTATAATGAAATTGCAAC